TGATTATCTTGATGCAAAAGGCATTACTTATAGCCACAGTGACGTTTTTCGCTTTGCCGGAGTGTCGAAGCCTTCCGGATGGGCTCCTTTTTTTGTGGTGGTGGGGAATAAATTGCGGTCCAGACTTTTTTCCGGACACCGTGCATGTTTATTTTTGCTTTGCCCCCCTTTTGGTATGCCTGGAAGCGTCTTCCTCGGTCGGTGTAAACAAACTCCGTCCCCGCCCCCACATCGACGTCACCGACGCCCCGCCCTTCCCGTAGACCTCCCCCGAGATTGTGCTGGACGAAATCGAGGCTGGACCAATTCCCTTTTCTCTGATCGTTTCTCCGCGACAGGACCCATCAGACAAACAAACCATTCGTGCTTCACTCGTAGTGCCTAGCCGTTGCAATGTCGATGCCAAACCCCAACACCACCACCCGCAGGGTGTTCACCCAGTTCCTGGTCGAGAAGGAATGCCCCGACAACGCGGACCCCTACTACAAAAAGACGCACGACGATCTGAGGCGCCTGCTGGACCTGCTCGCCAAGCACGAGGGCATGAGCGCCAACATGGAGCAGACATTTATGACGCCCGCGGCCGACAAGAACAAGGTGTATTTCATGTAAGCATCCCTCCGTCGATTGCTGTCTCGGGATCCCCCGCTGTATGCAGGGCTGACTTGCCTGTCCCTTGTGCCGGGCTTCAGGTGGGATTTCGTCGGCAGGACCCTGGGCATGATGGCTGCCGTCCCACCGACGACCCCCAAGGCGAGCCTGGCCAGCAGCGCCATGTTCAAGGACATCATTGGTCGGACCGTGATGGCGGAGGTCCTGATCCGCGACACGACGGGAAAGCTGGACGACACCAACGAGCCCGCGCACAGGGGGAGCTACAGGCGCAACGTCGAGTTCGGGCCCGAAATCATTCAGGCTCTCGACGAGGCCAAGGTTGCAGAGAAGTGATTAAACGATTGATATTTCATTGTAAAGTCAACGCAGTACCCCAGCTGCAGTTACCAGCCTTTTGAGGACTTTTTTTTTTTTTTTTGAGGTCGTGCTCGTCTCAAACGCCCCCCACGCCGCAGAATTGACCCTTCTATTTCGTCACCCCCTCGCCGCTGAATCTGGATACCGCATGCACACCTACCAGATCGATATCCAAAACGAACTGTTATAGCCCCCATCATTCCAATTAAAATATTGTTGCGACAAGCGCACAGGACAGGCGCCAGACATCTCAAGACCGCAGGTCAATAAGGACCACATAGATGCTCCTTCAATGCCAAGCTTGACCTTGATCCCCCAGGCCCACCCGAGAGGCCGCTCCCCGAGCAGGGAGGGACCGCCCTTCCAAAACAGCGACTTCCGAAGGAGGCACTCACCCAGCAGCCAGCGAAACACTACAGGGGCTGGGCGAAAAATAAAGCATGGGCGACTGGGCCAACACCAAACATCCAGGCCCACACCAATACACCTCAAAACCTCGGCCGTGGTCCGTTCTCGTCAGCCACTAGTCTAAAGACACGCAGCCAAGGTAGGAAACCTGCAAGCTAGGCGAGGCCGAGACTCCCCCGCTCCGGCCGGGTATACACCTAGGCATACCCACGGCACCGTAGTCAGCTTAGCTCAGATGCCGTTTGCGAGACCTGCAGGCCGTAGGAAAGACTTTTCGCAGAGAAGCGCTGGTATTTGACACGACAGAAGCTTTTGTTTGCTAAAAAATAAACATGAAGCCACTCTCGAGACAACACATGCAGGTCGCGCGGGGGGGGGACTTGTAATTATAAATCATTCTGCGGCCGGCACAGGCCTTCAAATAAGTACCATGGTATTGATGCCACTGGCACCTCGCACGAAACCCGCAGTCAGATGTCTCGCTGCGAGACATCTGACTGCGGACCGGCATAAGTCAGCGTGCAACTCTCGGTCAGCAACGCTATGCTTCGCTAGCATCACACGGGGCCAGGATTGACTGCATGGGTTGTAGAGATTAAAAAGGATGGAGCTGGGCGATGTCTAGCCGAGTGGCCCGCGGCGAGATATTATTATATTGTGTTGTGACCAAAGCTTGGCTGTGGTTTCCTTGTGACGATGGACAATCACCAGAGGATCCGGCAACAGTCCTTTCAGTCCCATCAGTCAGATGGTTAAAGCGCCGTCTTCAACAACCGCTATGGGGAGTGCCACAGGCCTTGTTAAGTACGGCCTTAGGAGCCACACAGTCTTAAGGTCTGTACTTTGGTATCAACCGACGTGCTACTAGCCATGGGACATGCAGTAAGGGTGTAACACTTCGTTCCGCCTCACAAAGCAAAAAATCGGTGAATGAACCAACAGCGGTGGGAAGTAGGCAGTGATACGAAAAGAAAAGCATTCATCTTATGTAAGACAGGTTATTCTAGATACGTCGTGGGCAGTACTACGCTATTGGTAGACGACTCTTCTGTATATTAACAGATTGAAACAGGTAAACCCATTACGCTTTTGGAAGGCCGCAAGATATATAAAGCCCCGATCAACCCTGATTGCCGACTCGGTATTTCCGAAACCAGCAGCCACCAGTGCCTGCAACACTTGACTAACTTGACTCCTTCATCTTCATTTCCTGACACTTTCACCCGCCAGCCAAACATCAACATGCATCTCCTCACTGCCGCCGTTGCCACCCTCGGACTTGCCGGGACCTCCCTGGCCATCCCCACCCTGGTCGCCCGTGACAAGTCCTCGGCTGTCGTCGACGCCGCCCAGGCGCCCCTGCCGACGCTGCTCCTCAGCGAGCTCCTGGCTGGCACCGCCCTTACCCCCGGGGGCTCCACGCTCATAGTCACCAACGAAACCTCCACCTTCCCCCCCGCCAGCCGCCGCGGCAACTCGTGGCACCTGACGACCTACACCGGGACCTCGTGCGAGGGCGATTGGCTCGGCTGGTCCTGGGCCGACGGCGTCGGCGCCTCGTGCGTCGTCAACGACAAAAGGGACTGGCACTCGCTCCGTGTCGATAACTTTGGTAGCTGCAGCAGTACGTCCTTTCCCTGAGCCCCAATTTTCCCTGCTGTCGAGGCTCCTTTTTCGCCATCTTCCGCCCCCCAAGATCCCGTGTTTTTTCTGGGGATTACGACTAACTCTAGGCTCTTCATCCTTGGCAGCCACGTTTTTCACAGGCCATGGCTGCGGAGGCGACTGGGCGGAGGTCATCAACGGCAACTGCATGGGCTGGCCTCAGGCCGAACCCATCCGCTCTGTCCGGGTGACCTGCCCCAAGTAAGCCAAAAACGAAACAAAGGTAGTACCCTACTACGAGGTCATTTGGGAATGTAGGGGCGGGGATATCGTTGGTTTTTTTAAACAAGCCAACAGTCGGGTTGCGTCGTCTGCAAGCACAGACAGATATGTGTTCGGTGTAGTCACTCATTTAAATCAAATGGAGGCCTAGCCTCCATATTTTATCTCTATCCTCGCGTTGCAGTGATCCAATGCCCACCTACCGTAGGTATTTTTGGGCCCAAATCTCTGGGTAGTCGTTTGCTTTCAAGCCCTACGGATGGGGATCTCGCTCGGTGGATCCTATCAAGCCCCAACTTACCCAGGGCCTTGCTCTGCTGTTGGCGCTGGGCCGATTGCATCGCGGCTCTGCTGACAGACAGCCCCACCATGTGGCACCATGGCTTTCTGTGCGCGGCAAGCACTTTTGTGTCCTTGGTTGATTTCCTGTCCCACCTTTTGCTCCCCCCATCATCCATCCATCATCTCGTCCAAAGCTCGACTCCTCCCACACTGCCACCCCATCGGCGCACAAATGGATCCCCTTTCCATCACCACGGGCGTCGCTGCCCTTTTCGGCACCTGCCTCAATATCGTCGAAAAGGTCGACGCCATCAGGGAAGCGGGTGCGAGCTCCCGCGCGGCCATGGTGCGGTTCGAAACGGACAAACTCCTGCTCGCCCAGTGGGGCAAGGAGGTCGGCATTGAGGATGGCGTGCTGCTGCCAACGCACCATGAATCCCTGGACGACCCCGCAGTTGCCGCAATGGTCACCGATATTCTGGGCAATATCAGCGATATATGCCTAACGATCGACAGCTCCCTCAAAGGCCTTGCTTACAGGCCTGTAAAGCCCACCAAGGTCGTGAACGGGGACCTTGGTCCTGGCCTCGAATCCCTTCGGCGGGCGCCCCACGATGACCTTGCCAAGGGGGGGCTAGTGTCTGGGAATGGGAGCTCAGCAAAAGGCAGCACGTCGAAGATGGCCAAGGTGGGCTGGGCACTTGGCGGCCAGGCCCGGGTTGCGCCAAAGCTCGACCAACTGGGGAACCTAATCAAGAGTCTGTTTAAAGTCGTGCCTATTTCCGATTCGGCGCTTCGGAAAGCATTGGAATATCTGCAAAAGCAGCGAGAAAGTAAGGGTCGCTTTATTTTTTCCGCATTATTATTCCGTCTGCGGTGTGTGTAAAGCAAGAAGCAAATTGTTCCGAACTATAAATGCCTGTTGCTAATTTTCCACCGCAGGCTACTTCATCTCACAGCCCTGTGTCTTCGCTATCTCGCGACAAAATGCGTATGGGATACGGGGCTTTTGCTGGGAGAGAGGGAGGTGCTCAGAGCACTGATTGCACTCGCTGTGGACATGCTGGGTGCTCTGGGGCGGCAGCCCGAAAATCAAGCTGTCCCGGCACTGATTGCTGACATGGTGCACAAGATTCTCGATCCGCGCAAAGGCATCTGGTCATCGCTCCATCCACATGTCTGGAGGCTTTTTCAGCACCACAGATCAACGTCTAGAATCGCAAAACTGTGGTACAGGGAGTCGCTAGGAGGGAGCGACAGCGGCCAAGGAATGATAGGAGATAATGCCCTATGCTTCGCAGCCTGGATAGGCCGCGATGCTCTGCGACACATCAGTACAGAAGCCAAGATCCCTATTAATACATCGACCCAGGATGGGTGGACTGCCTTGCACATTGCGTGCATGCGGGAGGGGGGAGGCGAATCTCTCGTCAAGCTGCTCGTCGAATGTGGTGCCGACGTCAACGCCCAGACCACTACTAATGGCGACACTGCGCTGATGGTGGCCACGTACAAGGGGCGTGTGGGGGAGGCGAGGCTGCTGTTGGATGCTGGGGCGAAGCTTCTTCGGACCAAGCGAGGCGGCTACACGCCCTTGCTTTCGGCCACGATGGGCGGTTACGTGGAGCTCGTACGGCTTCTGCTCGATCGAGGAGCCGACCTGGCGGTGACAAACGTCTGGAAAGAAACGGCATTGCATTTGGCATACCTTGAACAACGTAACGACGTTGCCGCTTTGCTGTTGGATCGGGGAGCGGACGTCACCAAGCGTTGTTCGTCCGGCAACGTGCCGCTTCATCGTGCCCTCTGGAGAGGCCAAGAATTATGGAGCCCACTACTTGAAAAGGCCGCCGGCATTGGAATGTTGGAGGTCAACACGTCCAATACCATCGGAGAGACGCTTCTTCATGCGGCGATACTTGGGGCGAACCCCGCGAGCAGTTTTGCAGGCAGCGCGGCAGAGGCGCTACTCGACTTGGGCGCGGACGTCGAGGCAAAATCGGACACGGGGAACACTGCGCTCACCCTTGCCGCGGCCCGTTTTGGCACCGAGTGGCTGCAGGGTCTGCTAGACAGAGGAGCAAAGGTCGACGCGCCAGGGGGCAGGGGCCGAACCCCGTTGCATGCGGCTTTGCTGTGCGGCAACACCGCGTCCGCAAGCCTGTTTCTGGCACGAGGAGCTGATCTTGCCCTTAAAGATGGTGATGGGTGTGTTGCCGGCCATTTCGCTGCGAAGTCCAATAAAGGAGCCTGCTTGCGCCTTGTGCTACAGCAAGGGGCGGATATCAACGCCAAAACAAACTTGGGAGAGCCCCTGCTGTTTTTCGGGATTTCCTCTGGAGCTACCGAATGTGTGGAAATCTTGCTCAGCTCAGGGGCGACCCTCGCAGATGTGGATTCAGATCAGAATTCTGTGCTCCATTGTGCATGCTACTACAGCCAAGTGGACTGCTTCCAGCTCCTTGTCGAGAAAGGGGCCAATCCCATGGCTCTTAACAATGCTCAAAACACCCCTGCACACGTTGCCGCCTGCGAGGACAGCCCAGGCTGCCTGCGACGTCTGGTAAACTTGGGGGTCGACATATTAGCAAGAAATGATCATGGTCGAACGCCAATCTTGGGCGCGTGCGAGGATGGCAGCGCCGACTGCCTAAAGCTCCTCATGGACGCTGGTGCAGACATCCAGGTTCAGGATAAGAATGGCTACACTCCGGTTTCCCTCGCGGCTGCGGGGGGTCATGGCGGGTGTTTGGAGATGCTCCTGAAGGCCGGGGCGGACTGCAATGTGGTCCAACGCAGTGGCCACCCGGCAATTACCTATGCAGCCCGGGGTGGGCATGACGCTTGCTTGAAGCTGCTGCTCGACTACGGGGCTGATGTCACGGTGGCGTACTCCGCAGGCTGGACGGCGGCGCACCAAGCCGCCGACGCCTGCCAGCTCGGCTGCCTCGAGCTCTTGCTGGACGCCGGGGCCGACTACAGCGCCGTGACCCTTGTCAACAGCGAGTCCGTGGTCCACATGGCACTGTCCTCCGGCAGCCCCGCCGCGCTCGAGCTGCTGCTGGGCCGCGGTGCCGACCCCTTCACCCTGGACGGCGTCGGCAACAACCTGCTCGGCCGTCTCTGCAACATACCGCCAGGGCGCAAGGGCTCCGTGGACCAGCTGCTCGACCTCCTGCTCACCCGTGGCCTCGACGCCCTCCACCGCAACGCCTACGGCATGACGCCGCTCGCCGTCGCGGTTGCGCACGGGGAGGAGGCCATGGCCAAGAGACTCCTCGCCGCCACCGAGGGCACCTTCGACCTGCCCGACGGCTTCGGCCGCACGCTGCTCTGGTGGGTCCGGCGCGCGGGCGGCCAAGTCGGCGGCCTTGTCGACATCCTGCAGCGCGAGGCCGACAGGCGGGGGGTTACGCTGCCGCAGCCAGAGGCGGAAGTCGAAGTTGGCGGACAGTACGAGGCTGCCACCATCCCGGGTTCTTACTGCGACGTTTGTACCCTTCATATGCACTCGGGTCAGGCTGGCTACCAATGTCCTGTCTGCTGGGGTGGGTACTTTGTCATGTGCCGCGAGTGCTATGACCTTGGAGGGCGCTGTCTGGAGGGATACCACGTCGCCAACGAGCTAACTTTTTGAGCAACCAAAAAGCGGGCGAGTGGTTGCCCTACTAATAGAAATTGGCGTTTCGAGGAGGATCCGGGCGAGAAACATCGGTTGAGGAAATTTCTCACATCTACAAGGAAGCACACTGCATTCCGGCGTTGGATTAGCGCTATTCAATCAGGAAATCACAAGCAAGCCGTATGGTTGCTGGCATGACCTCCCGGTCACTAGGTAGCGGTGGACGGGGCCTCCTAATCCCACCCAGCTCCATGAGGAGCAATACCGCTGCCCTCCCCGGTGGTCTTGAGGGATCTCTATGCACGAGCCTTCACGTACAAAACAACAGGGGCAGGTGCTGGAACGGTTTTCCTGCTCTCATTGAGGAAGGCGCACGCGAAATGCACCCTTTTGACATACGTACATACATCTCCTTCTCGGCGACGTTACCATTCCACCTTGATCCCCCCATCACGGCCTCGACCTCAAGGGTTGACATACGGCGGCTGGATCTTGTTCCAGCCGTCGGCCTCGGTGATGTTCAGACCTTCCAGTTCCACGTCCTGGAAGATGCGCAGGTTGAGCGGCTGCCAGTCTCGCTTGTCGGCCATGTACGCGCGCAGCCCCTCGGGCAGGGCGGCAAACTCGTCGTCGGTCGAAATGTCGAGCCGGTTGGCGACGTAGACGCCGCAGCGGCGGCAAAAGACCTGCGAGCCCAGGCGCACGTGGTAGGCGCCCACGGCCTTGGAGAAGGCGTCCCCGCGCGGGTCGTCGCCGCCGCCGCGCGCCTTGATCACGACCTGGCCCCGGTTCGGATAGATCCACGTGGCGCCGGTGCGCTGGCACAGCGAGCAGTTGCACTCGACGATGGCGCGCGCCGGGTCCTGCTCGAAGTCGGCGGCGCGATCCTGGTCGAACGGCTTGGGGACGCGGAGCGCCACGCGCACGTCGCCGCAGTGGCAGCTGCCGTGGTAGAGCTTGCCGCCCGAGGGCTCATCGTCGAAGCGGGTGGCCGGCTCGGGCATGTCGTCGTACGGGGGCGGGACGTACTCGGGCTTGTACGAGACGCCGTTGTATCTGGGGGCAGATGTTAGAGGAGGAGCGGCGGGGGGAAATAAAAAGAAGTATTCGCATTCTGCCGCCACGGAGAAACCTCGCTCACTTATTCTTGGCCATTTTCCACAGGTCGAGCGGCCCCTGGACGGCGCGGGCGTTGATGGCGGTGAAGCCGGGCATCTTGGTGTAGGTGCCAAGGACGGCGGTGCCGCAGTTGGAGCAGAACATGTGCGACAGCAAGGCCGGGTCGAACTTGTAGACGGTGAGGTCCTTTTCGATGTCGCCCTTGACGACCTTGAAGTCGGCGTCGGGCACAATGGCGAAGGCGTAGTTCTTCTTGATGCAGATGCTGCAGTTGCAGACCTTGACCTCCTTGATCTCGGGGATGAAGGCCTCGAAGACGAAGGCGCCGCAGTGGCAGTTGCCCCTGTACGTCTGCTTCTCCTCAGCCGAGACAGGGCTGGGCTCGGCCATGGCGGGCAAGGGCGGAGTGCTGGGAGTTGGATGAGGGAAGTGGCGAATGGGGCTGGAATTTGGAGGGCCGATGAGTGTGGTGTTCCTCAGGACTTGAATACCTAAAATTTAAGCCTACTACCCGTGTTTTATAGGCGGTCCGTCGCACAAAGCTGATAGCACCGAGCGCAAAGCCGCAGACCCATTCACGCCGTCTTACACTCCGTCTTCCCAGACCCCCGGCCCAGCCAAAGCATCCCCCCCAGGCGGTGTGGAGCCAGAGCCACCAATGGGGAGTCTCTTTCATTGACCCGAAGGGCGTCTCCAGGGTTTTGGCACCAGCCGCTGAGCCACACTGCACAGTCGGCAGTCGGCGCAGGAAAGCGAGCCAATTGAGGCCGTGGTGTCACCCAGGCGATTGCACAAGCCGCGTGGGGGAGGATGCAGGCCATCAGGCAACAGCATCGCTGGGTCGTTCACGGCGCATCTAGCTCCTGCTAGGCTCGGCCGACAAAGGAGTTAATGCCGACGTGTCCTGATGGGACATCTGGGAGGCATCTAGCTGATTATTGAACAAGCCGGTTTGGAGGACACATCGCCTTGGTTACATCCCATTGGGATGGGGCTGCGGAGTCTCAATGTTCGATAATCCTTAATGCATATATCTAGCTGGTCTTGCCGTGCCCCTCCAACCCCGCTGATAACATCCACATACATATGCACCTCGCCCAGCCCTACCCCCCCCACATCGACTTGCGGTCACCGCCGTCAATACCACTCGTCATCCTCCGTCTCGGGACACTCAGGCGCGGTTGCAGGCGCCGCCCGTGATGCACGAACGCTCGGCCGCGGTGCTGTGATAGGCCACAGGTTAGCTCTAAATACTCGCAAAACCCCACCGAAAAAGAATAGAAACAGCAGCAAGAAGGAGCACCATCCACATACATGGGCACGACGTATCCGTGGCGGTAGCGGTTACCCAGGTTGATGCCCGTCGACGGCGTCCACTGGCCGCCGGTGATGTTGGTCGTCTCAAAGGGCTTGTACCCGGCGCCACGCGTGTAGTCGTCGATGAACATGTGCCACTTTTTGGGGTTCTGGTTGTCCTGGAACACGAGCGGGCCCTCGCCCGCCGGCAGGCCCTGCCCGATGCGCTGCGCGACCACGGACCAGGGCCCGTTGAGGCTGGTGGCGCGCGCCTGCTCGATCAGCTGGCCGGGCCCGTTCTTGGAGACGCGGTAGAAGGTGTTGGTCGACTTGTCCGTGGCGATGGTGGTGTCCATGCCGGCGCCGCGCAGGAACTTGTGCGCCGGCGTGAAGGTCTTGAAGTCGGTCGTGTACGACCCCATGATGTACCAGCCGTCGCCCTTGAGGTTGCATGTCCAGAAGACGAGGTCTACGGGGGCGGTTGTTTTTCGTCGTCAATTCTAGACATCACATGCCAGGGGGAGAGAGAGGGGGTAAGCTCTTACACCGCGACGTCGCCGGGTCCCAGATGGCGTCGGGCGCCCAGGTCATGCCGGCGTTGCTGGGGCTGACGATGCGGAGGGCGGAAGAGGTCCAGGTCTTGAGGTTGGTCGACTCCCAGACGACGAGGCCCTTGGACCCGCTCTCGGTGAAGTTGTTGCCGGCCCAGCCGAGGCCGTTGACCTTGAGGTCCGTGGCCACGATCCAGTACTTGGACCCGTCCTGGCTGCGGATCAGGGACGGGTCGCGGACGCCGCGAGTGCCGACGTTGGACGTCAGCACGGGCTGGCCGCCGTCGACGTTGGTCCACGAGCCCGGGTTGTTGTTGTTGGACACGGACATGTAGATCTGCTCGCCATTGGAGGTGCCTTCGCCGGTGAACTGTTGAGTGTTTGTTAGAAAGTGTTTGTTGGCCAGTGTCTGCGTGGTAGAGCCTCTTCCTCGTAGGATAGCATGGGGCACATGAATACCTACGTAGACGAAGAGGTAGTCGGTATAAGTCGACTGTCGCTCCTTCAGCACGCTGGGCGCGGCTGCAGCCAAGGCCGAGAGGGCAGTGAGCAGCGCTACAGTGAGCCTCATGTTGACGGATGTAGGAGTGATGCGGCTAGGGGTTGGTGGTGTGACAGGACTATCCTCCAAGCCAAGAGCGGCCGAGTAGGGTTACATATACGCCCGCCGACGTCGCATTACAACTCTTTTATGTTTAGGACCCACGTTTTTCCACGCGCGCCCTCTCGGCTCCGGGTGCCTCTTGCGCATGTTGGAATCCATGTCCCGGCGCTCGGTCTGCAGGTGCCGAACTGGCGCGCCAATCCGCTGGCCGGGACGACTACGGTGGTGGATCTCATGGCATCGTCCGAGGAGGAGGCGGCGAGACAGGCGTCGCCAGGTCGGGTATACCTGCTGGGCAGACCAGGGGCAACACCATGTCTTGGGATCCTTGGTCGGCACTTGACCTGTCAGTCCGCCACCATCGCTAAGGTGCCAAGCACCGTCCCCACTCCCAGGAGTCTGGAGAAAAGCGCGGCCACCAATCATGACGCACCCCCCGGCCTAAACCGGCCCAAACCAGCGCCTTCCCACTCCAAGTCAGATCAAAGGACAAACCCACTCCGGCGGAAATTTCCCCAACGACACCTCAGCGTCACAGCAAAGCACAGCAAGGTGTCAGCCCGGATGCGGACTGCGACCTCCGCTCTGGATCATGACCGTTGCTCCCGGCGCCGGCCCCTCACAAACACCCTTCACAATACCCACGACCAATGCGGAGAAGTCGCCTCTTGGGCCCTGATGCGGGGTGCGGCAGCACTTTTGCACCAATCGTCGGCTCTGGCCGCGGTCCACAGAAGGATGAAGCGATCTATATCCCCTGAACCCAGACTAGACACCACCTCGCCCTGCAATGTAGCCCAGACAATACTGCTCGACAATCCGGTCGGCCACGAGTAATGAGGCGCTGTGTCTCGATCGCCGTTACAGCCGCACCATTCACTCTTTGGTTCTGTCGCAGCCGTCGCCACAAATCCCGGCGGGAGTCGCATCTGGGCATTGCCATTGCCCCGCAACGCGCGGGAAGCGACGGCGGCAAAGTCAACGACAGCGGCTGAATGCAGGCCGAGGAGGGTGGTGGCGGGGAGACCAAGAGCCGTCTCATCATGTATAATTAGGGTCGCGGGCCCGCTTTCAGCACCAATCCTCCGACTCTTCCTCCCCATCCCGACACCCCGTCTCGAGGACCTCTGAGCCGCCGCACCGTCCTACTCGCTGCTTTTTGCATTCTTTGTCTCAACTACAAAGATGACCTTCAAGAACACTCTTTTCGTCGCGGCGCTGCTCGCCCTGGCCGAGGCCGAGCCGATCCAGAAGCGCCTCGAGAATGGGCTTGGTCGCAAGCCAGCCCTTGGGTGGAACAGCTGGGTAAGAAAGCCAAGAGACTTTGAAAGCTGCCAATGAGACGGCCAGCGTCAGAAAAACCTCGGCGCTTCATTCTACTAACAAGCGAAAACCCTCATAGAACGTGGCCCAGTGCAACTCGGCCACGGCCAAGTACGCGCTCGACACGGCCAACCTGTTCGTGTCGCTCGGCCTCAAGGACCTGGGCTACGAGTACGTCAACATCGACGACTGCTGGAGCACCATGAACCGCAACGGCTCGGGCTACCTGGTCGCCGACCCCAACAAGTGGCCGCAGGGCGTCAAGCCCGTCGTCGACAAGATCCACTCCATGGGCCTCAAGTTCGGCCTCTACGGCTGCGCCGGCACAAAGACCTGCGGCGGCTACCCGGGGTCCTGGGGCCACGAGACGGAGGACGCCAAGCTCCTCGCGTCCTGGGGGGTCGACCTGTGGAAGCACGACAACTGCTTCACGCCCTGCGAGGGCAACCCCTGGCCGCAGACGTGCTGGGGCAAGAAGGCGGGCGGCCACACGCAGGAGTGGTTCGGCAAGATGAGGGACGCGCTCATGTCGGTGCGCAACCAGAAGAGCATCTACTTCTCCATGTGCCAGTGGGGCGTCGACAACGTCTGGACCTGGGGCAAAGACTACGGCAACGCCTGGCGCATGTCCAACGACAACTGGAACGACTGGGCCTCGGTCGTGCGCATCGCCTCAACCGCCGGCACCATTGCCCAGTACGCGGGGCCCGGCGGCTTTAACGATCTGGACATGATGGTGTGTTTTTTCCCGCTCGGTTGACCACTGTGTTGTTTGTTTGTTAAAAGTTGCTGACTCTTGCATGTCCTTCCTTTCTCCCCGCCCGCAGCAACTCGGCAACGGCAAGCTCACGGCCGCCCAGGAGCGTACCCACATGGGCCTCTGGGCCATCGCCAAGTCGCCCATCATTCTAGGCAACGACCTGTCCAAGATCTCCCAGGCCACCCTGTCCCTGGTCCGGAACAAGGGCCTGATCGGCATCAACCAGGACTCGCTCGGCAAGGCCGCCGGCTACTTCCGCCCGCCCGGCAAGCCCGCGCCCGTTAACGGCCAGATCTACAACTACTGGGCCGGCCAGTTGAGCGACGGCGTCGTCGTCGCCCTCGTCTCGCCAGGCCGCGCCCAGACCCTGTCAGTCGACCTCAAGGACGTGCCCAACCTCGGCTCCGGCAACTGGCGCTGGACCGAGATGTTCTCGGGCCGCACCGGCACTGGCACCAGCGTTTCGGCCAGCCTGGCCACCGACGACATTGCCGTGTACAAGGTCACCAAAGGTTCGTTGCGTCCATCCCTCGATTAGCTATGCGGATCTATGCTCACGGACTTTTTTTCTACAACAGCGTAAATACTGCTTCCGGCCACAAACCGGTATGACTTGGGCAGTCAAATCCTTTCTGTTGCAGGATAGGTATCCGCGCACAGTGGTTTCGTCAGAAGGGCCACAGGGCACGCGAGATGATGGAACGAAAAATGAAAATAAAGTGTCCTCTTGCCTATTGCCACACTCGCAAAATACTGTATTACTGTAAACACCCTGACAACGCTACTACCACTAACATTATGAGGCATCCGGGGTCTCGGACTTGATGCTCTGGGGAGCGAAACATCGTCGAGCGTATAGGCCCTAGTACATTACCAGGTAGGTATGACGCTCACCAGCCCATCATAGCCGCCGTGATTGTCTTTGGGTATCGACTGATGGACACACCCCCACTCTCTCGCTGCTCTCGTCTTGTCCTCTCAGGCCAGCAGCAGAGCCCCTCCAGCCAGGACAGCGGCACCCCCTGCCAGTGCGGCATTTTGCGTAGCACGCGGCAGGCCGGCGCCTGCTGTCGGTCGCGTGCTGATAGGCCCCTGGGGAATCTACCCAAGTGCCAAGATCGTCAGCTCGAGCCTTTACTAAGTCTACCCGTGTCCAGCCCCAGGGAAGTACTTGGACTGCAACCGACACAGGAAACGCATAATAACAAGAAGAAGAAGAAAAAACAGAAAAGGCAAGGACTTACAGTCCCTTCCACGATAACGACAGGAACCTGCGTGGCCCTTATGCTCCCCGGCGTAAACGTCCCCGAGGTCGTCGCAGTCGTCGTTATGGAGTCGTCCTTGGAGCTGTGCGTCGAGGACCAGGCCCCGGTGCACGTCGCCGACGACCGCGCCGTGTCGAGGAAGCACGTCGCCTTCATGCCGAACTGCTGGGTGGCCATCAGCTCGCCGTTGTGGCTCGAGGCGCCGGCGTAGCCGATCTCGTACGCGATCCTCTGGTTGGTCGGGGTATCGTTCGCCAGCATGTCTATGACCCTGACATCGTCCCACCAGTCCCGCAGATAGCCCCTCTGGTTGAACGGCACCTGGCCGGGCTGGGTCATGTAGTAGGTCGTGGCGATGCTGTGGCCCCGCACCGTCGCCGTCATCATCGGCGGCAGGCTGGTCAAGGGGCCCGCCGGGACGAACCAGACGCTGGTGGTGGCCCCCTTTACCGACTCGGTGGTGCTGGCGGTGGTCCTCTGTGCCGAGGCGGAGCCGAGTATGGCCTGGAGGAGGAGGAGCTTTGCGTTAAGCCTCATTTTTTTTAGACTTCGACTTCTGCCTGCTGGTGGCCAGTTCAAGAGCGCAATCTACGTGTGCTTGTGCTCGGGTTGGGACTTGTTGATCCGTGTACTGTTTTCGAGGATGGCATGGCGTCGCTAGCGTTTATATATCGGCCTCGATACCCAGTAAGGCCCGCCGCTAGTCGGCGCTTCTATAATAGCTGCCTCCCTCACGGCAGCAGGAGCTGACGCCGAGACTTTGGTCGCCCTGTTATGTCCACTTATAGGCAATGATATAAGCTGACGACAAGGCATCCCATTGGCCATTTCACGCACGACAACCCTGGTGGCCCCATTCCACCCCCCTGCGCTCCGGGCTCAAAATGCGAGATCGCATCGCGGCAGAGTCCGAAATGCTCATTTCTCTGGGCGCGAATTCGGCAGGCACCCGACAAAAGCGCAGCTATCAATCCAGCCAATGCCAACTGGAACCGAAGTGGCCCCAGAACAGCGACTCGCACGGGATTAAGCAACCGCTGCTTAATCCCGATGGGTGAGTTCGATGTGGAAATCGTGAGGAGGCGGGCGGTCTTACAGTGAAGGAGTGCTAGCCCGTGCACGCTCTGGCTGCCTGCCAGAGTCCTCGCTATCCTCCTCGATGATGTCGCGCGCGTGCCCGACGCCGGCCCGGAAAGTGGATCACAGTCGCTGGCTGCTGCGGCTAGCTGCAGACAAAACACACGTGGCTGGAATATTGTTGCGCAATCGGGTCCAGTGTGGACGTGGACGACATCCCGCGCACCCGTCGGGAGTCTTTTCGGCTAGAAACGGGAGTAACCGTAGGACACCTGCCTCTTGGGACGGTCGGGTGGTTGGACATGGATCTAGTCAAAATGCCGGCCACGAATATAGAGGTCAGTTCGACTTTGCATGTCGTCGCCAAGTACCTACATTTCGCCCTGCCAGCTTGGCTCGGCTAATGTTGGCCCCATTAGCAAAAATGCCCTGTCGACGTGGATTTCATATGCGGATCACGTGACGAGGCCTTTCAATGTCCAGACCCCATTTCTACAGGTCTCCACCCTACCACAGGCTAAACATACAAACCACGAGCCACTTCAGCTACGAGGTCACACATCCCGGATACTGCTATTTACGATCATCTTACCCATTCTCTAATATCTTGATGCAATATGCCCACGCCCGCTTCACTCCCCACAATCGTGTCCTCGGCGAAGAGGCTTCAAATCTTCCTCTCCTCCATCACCCCTCGAAGCACTCTATACCTAGATATTGAGGGAAAGGACCTTGGCCGCCGCGGGACGCTCAACATCATCACCGCTCTCATCCACCCCCGGAAGCAGGCGAGCCTCATCGACGTCCAGAAGCTCGGCAAGGCCGCCTTCACCACCGCAAACGGAGCCGGCGCCACGCTCAAGAGCATCCTGGAGGACCAAAGCGTCCCCAAGTACTTCTGGGACGTGCGGACCGACGCCGTCGCGCTCTGGGCGCACCACCAGGTCCGCCTTGCCGGCGTCATGGACGTGCAGCTGCTCGAGAAGGCGGCGCGGCGGCGCGGCGGCAGCAACACGGACTTTATAGGGCTCCGTAACGCCGTGAAGAACGACCTGGACCTTCCCCGGGCCCTGCTGGGCAGCTGGCTACAGAACAAACAGCACGCCGCTGCTCTCTTCAGAGCTCGCCAAGACATCTTCTCGCTCCGACCTCTGCGCAAAAAGGTCAAGCGTTATTGCGTCGACGACGTCGAACACCTGCCCGCGCTTGCGGAGCGCTATGTCGACAGGCTCGACGCCCAGGGGCTAGAGCGCGTCCGGGTGAGGAGCGCAGGGCGTGTCGACAGGGCGTGTGACCCAAGCCCCGTCGGCCGCAATCCGAGGAGAAGATCGGCCCGGGGCGCTGAGAGAAGCATGGGGCACCTGCCGCGAGACCAACTGACAGGTTTGTTTCGCCGTACAACCCCCTCCCATCTCCTCCCGATGATTGACCGTTTCATTTTTGTAGAAACGTGAAAGGAGCGGCTCACGGGGGAAAAAAAATACCGGTAAGGCGAGCCGACCTCCGGGAAAGGTTGCCACCTGAAACAATGCTGCCCTCGGAATCACTGTCCTCGCTTTGTTCATGGGTGTTTGGCGCATGGTGAGAGAAGGTTCTGCTGTGATCCAAGCGCCATGGAGATGCACCTGTAGCGTTCCTGATCGCATGCCAACCCGCTTCCTCGCAGCTAGGCCAAAACAGCCACGTCAAAGTCGTACGGCATTGGCCGTGCTGGCATTAGAAAGCTAACACCACCTCCCTCCGTGAAGCCATCATCCTTCTCGAGGAGTGGCTAGCCTCCCTCCTGCGATGGCTTTACCACCCTAGCAGGTACTGCGAAGCTCCATACAACACCCACAAGCCCCAAGGACAGCGTAAAACCCTCACTGTCACCAGTATTTGCTTGCATCTTCCCGGCTGATGGTGTCACCGCCAGCTTAAAGCATCGCGCAAAATAAAGCCCTGGAACGGGCCTGTCGAACCTTTCCAGGCCGCGCCAGGAAGCTCCAGGTTCGAACAAGGGCTGTACTGCTAACATACCAATTCGAAAGAGATAAAAAAAAAACACACGCTCAAATCGGACTTCCTCTTCTTGCTGCCCTTCTACGCTGTATTCTCGGGGCAAGTCCAGGCATGGGTAAAATAACAGGAAAACCGAAAAAAATACCTACTACCGCAATGTGAAACCACAGGACCTAAAGGACACCCTGTTCTTGTGGCCTTGTGGCGTGAGCTAGACGGATCTTTGTGGTGTTTCTCAGCTTTCCATTTCCTGGGCTCAAGGGGTAATGGGCGAGACGACTTCCTTCGTGGAACGGATACCCAAGATTGGTAATTGATGATTTAAATGAGAAAACTGAATTGGGGAGCGCTATACCAAAACAGAAATGACTAGACGGAAATACCGTTCAAGCGGGGAGACATTTTCCATGGAACTCTCCTGCACTTTCCCTCTACCACATCTTCTCCCAGGTCCTCCGCAGGAAACTCATCTCGGCCAGACGTGCCTTGACGTTCTCCTGGATGCCGCCCTCCTCCCAGTGCCTGCACTCCTCGTCCACCTCCTTCTTGCCCGAGATCAGGTCGGCGTCGGCTGGGTTGACGAAGCTGGTCTTCTTGAAGACCTTGTAGCCTACAAACATGATGGTGCCAAAGGGGAAGGCAAAGTAGGCTGTGATGAAGTCACGGTATGAAAACGGCGAGAAGGTGTCGAAGCCGACAAACAGCACGGCCGTGCAGCCCAGGACGAGGGCCAAGTAGCTCGTGTAAGGGGTGAAGGGGGCCAGGTAGGGCAAAGTGGCCGGGTCCATGCCCTGGGCGTTGCGGGCGCGGTAGAAGCCGATGTAGGCGATCATCATCATGGTGTAGGTCATGATGAGGGCCGTGGTGGTCAGGTCGACAAACCAGAAGAAGACGGTGACGGCCGAGTCGGAAGCGACAAGGAAGGTGATGCACGCAATGAGCGAGACGGCACCGACAGACCAGATAGGCACGCCGTCCTTGGTGCACTTGAGGAAGATCTTGGGTGCCTGGTTGTCGCGCGCCAGGCCGTACAGCGTGCGGCTGGCCGAGTAGAGGTAGGCGTTGCCGCACGACCAGCCCGACAACATGATGGCGGCGTTGATGACGTGGGGAAGGACGCTGATGCCCATACGCTCGATGCCGACCACCCAAGGGCTGGAGAAGGCGCCAGGCTTCCTGTTCTTGATGGCGTCGAGGAGACCGGGGTCGACGGAGCTGCAAATGATGCCGACGCAGAGGACGCCGATGACGTAGAATCCAACCAGGCGGTAGAAAACAAGGCTGGCAACTCGGGGGATGGTGTAGCGCGGGTTCTGGATCTCACCGGCCGCGAGGGCGATCATGTCGGGGCCGGCAATGGTGAATCCGGCGTAGATGACAACCTTCCACCAGCCCAGGAAGTTACCGGTGGCGCCCTCAGCGACGTAGGGGTGGATGTAGTTGCCGTTGCCCCAGCTGCGGAACCCGTAGGCATCACCCTGCGGGTTGCCACCGGCCATGGTGATGACGGTGATTAGGATGAGGCCGAAAAGAAGCAGGACTTTGGTGGACGCCATGATGAACTCGGCCTCGCCGTACCACTTAACGGCAACCACGTTGACGATGATGCACGAGAACATGGCAACAGCGATCCAGGCGGCAGGGTTCGTTTTTGGATCCCAATACTGGATGATGGTCGCGATGGCCGAGTATTCCGTACAGACAAGCATGACGCCAGCGAAGAAGTAGGTCCAACCCATGGCAAAGCCGAGGGCCGGGTCGACGAAGCGGCTCGCGAGCTCGAAAATGGAGCCGCGGATGGGCAGGTAGGCGCACATCTCGGCGACGCATAGGTTGAGCGGCCAGATGAAGAGAAGTCCCCAGAACATGTAGCCAAGCACGAGCGACAGCGGCCCGGCCTTGGTAAGTACGCCACCGATTCCGATCCCTGTTCAGGAGTTATTTTTTGTCAGCAAATCAGAACTTCCGAAAGCTCGGATCGGCTACCGATATGGCGCTGCAGATAAGCGGCTGCCCACATCGCGGGGACAGGCGCGTGGGGGAGTGTCGGGGAAGAGGGTGCTCAGCTTACAGAGTCCCGTTCCAATCGAGCCACCAATGGCCATGAGCTGCACGTGGCGAGGGCTCAAGCCGCGCTTGGTCTCGCCGTACGTAGTGGCGATGCCCGCGCCGCCATCGCTGGAGATAACGCCGCCGGCCTGGATGTCGGAGGGGGCACTGCCGCTGGGGGAGCGGCCCAGGCCGATTGTTTTTTCGTCGGGCGGAGCGGCGCCCATGGTTGCTGCTGCGACGGGGAGCCGTGGGAGCCTAGTCTGGTCTAGCGGCAGGGACTCCTCGAGGTATCTCCGGGCAGGGAATGGCGGGGGATGGCGAGGAGGGCAAGGGAGGACATCGGGGAGCGGCGAGATGGGCAGGGCGGGGATGAGGCAGCGTATTTATGGCCGCTGGCGCGGTGGCTATCTTGCCCAATCTCGCCGATCCCCGCTCGACGGCTGCGTGTAGTTGACTCGGGCAGGCCGGGTCGCCGCAGTCATCCTCGGACCTTGTCAGGGCGCCAGGGCGTTGGGGCAGCACGCGCGAACGGCTCGCTGCTACCTGGATGTCCCCTCCACCACCAGGCGGCGGGTGCCATTGGGCCACGGCGCTGGAGCAGGACCCGCATCGCGCTCGTCTCTGGGTGAAAATTAGGGGGCAAATGGGCGACGATAAGGACCAGACGGGGCGCGGGTGAAGCAAGCATGAAGCCCGCTCGTCAGCGCGGGCGTGCGGGTGTGCTCCAGTGCCCGTATCTCAAGGGGCCCCGCTCCTCGGTTTAGGTTATCTGCGGGCAAGTCCAGCGACGCGTGCACCACCACGTCCAGCACCGTGCAGACCTGTCCATTTCCCCGGCCTCGCTGCGTGGGGAGCACGTTGGTCGGATGGCTCCTGCCAGGCAGGTCCATGACTCGGGTGCTAGCGGCGCTTGCCATTTCCAATCTTTGCCTGTTGCGACACCGAGGCCTTCCTTCCATGACGGATGGAACATGGAGGGCATTGATTCCATGGTTCGATACCCCAACATTTGCCCTCTGCTCTACCCCATATCCATTACGTACAGAGTTGCCAGCCAAATCTAGAGTAAAAGCGTGCCACGACTCCGGAGCCCGGTTTTCGGCTGCTGCTAGGCCCGCGCCCACGTCGCCGTCCCCGACCTGCCCCGACAAACAAATTGCTGATCGTCTCCATCGCCGCCCCTGCCCCGCTCCGCTGCTTGAGCTTCGCCCAGGTTGCCGGTCGGTGGAGACCCAAGACGCCCCGGTTTTACGCTTGTACTTTCCTGATTTGACCTTTTCTCCTGGACCATATCCTTCGGCTCCTCTCTGCCGTCCGCTGTCTCTGCGCAAGCATGCAACGTCCGTTGCTAGGCTCAACCTTGACGCCCCAGATATCGCCCTCCCCGCAACATTACGGCTCCATTGGGGTACGCGAGGCACGCGACGAGGACCCCGGATGATGACTGGGCAGCAAGTCACAGGCTTTATGGTCCGTCCGGCTCGTGTCCGAGAACCGGCGCGACTTTTTTTTATCAAGTTCCTGGGCGTCTCCAATTTCCCGCATGGGGCCACTTTTCCTTGTCTACCCCAGATCCGGCGAGATATGGACTTCCCTGCAGATGCATCACCAGCTGAAAGAACTTGTCAAGATATCAACACCATGACGCAACCCAGTACACGTCTTGGGGTGAGTCGACACGTGCGCATCGTTCGATTGTCTTTTCCATCTCCCGAGCGCTATCTTGTATCTCTCGGCGGGGCCGGATAGAAGGATAGGACTCCACTGGGATGCCAGACAAAGCCGATACTAGTCCATATACAGAGCAGCCGCCGCCACGCGCCTCGGCGTACTTGCTCAGCAAACACAGAGCAAAGAGCCGCATTCGTGCTCCAGGTTGGACATTCCTAATAGGGAAGTGGACCTGTGTCAACCAACGACTTTGGTCTGGCCCCTGACATATCCAAGGACCACGTGCCAACCTTCGGCCTGGCCCCTTGGTTGTGTTGGCCATTTTCAGGTCCACTGGTAGGCACCCGACATCAACGCAATGCCGTTAAGTACCCTTGACATGCCGATCGCCATGATGGGAGTAAATGTCCAAAATTTGATGGACGAGAAAAGAAAATCGGCCGTCGACACGGGAACAGCACTCGAGCAGATGGGCACTACCGATTGATACATTTTCCTGCCCGCCGTGACACTCAACCTGTATCTTGATATAGTGCTTCTACCGCGGCCAGGGACAGGAGAAAGTAATGGGTTAGACCATAGATCCGGCTCCAAATTAGAACACAAGCAATTGGAAATATTACAGGGAGGGAAAAAGAGCTCGATTGATACCAAATATCTCCAAGGCTAGGATGTCAAGCAAGCCGAGCACGGCTGCTGCTTGGGTCCTCGCCCGGCGTTCTTGCGAACGATGCTGGGGCCGCCGACATCTCTCCCGCCACTCGCTACCAACGAGGACTGTCTGACCTCTGGCGACAAAATAGGCGCCTCGACGCATCAAGGTGAACAGGCCGGGCCGCATACAATGCGAGGGACGGCAGATCAGGGAAAACGGATACAAAGAAAGACTCAGATCGTGACCAATAAAGAAACCTGTCGTTCATACATTTTAGGAGCTGGTGTGCCGTCACCTTACCATGCCGTGGCATAGCATTCAGTGTCCTTCTCCGCGTCGCGCCAGTTGGAAGCCCCATCCATCGGCGGCCATCTGTCGCGTGGTGGCAACAGCCTGCACGGGGGCCATATTTACAGCATTTGCGTGCAAAAGAGGCTTGATCTCGATCCCACGGCCGGACACGGCGCGGCTGGAGGAGGTCTCCGGGTGATGTCCAGCGGGCCCTGCCTCGCGATTTGCGCGTGACCTTGCCCCGGCGCCATATGTCTCCCACGGACCGGCTACCCGCTTGTGTTCCCTCCATTGTCTAACTGTGCCACTATGGCAACCATGTGCGCTGTTCGCGGAATCGCTGGCGCTCTTCTGTCGGGGTGATGTCAATCCAGAGAGCATGCCAATTCTCCGGTTACACATAGGCATCCCGGGTCCCGATCCTCCCTGCGTAGATTGCGTCAAACGCCGTGCGTCTGCACTTTTCCCTACGGCTTCGGTTCGTGCGCCTGCGGAGGATTTGAATGAGTTGCCCTGCTGTTAATAACGAGATAGTTCGTGGCGGCTTGGAGCGCCGCCTGCTCCCCTGCCACGGCCTCATCAAGCACCGCGGCGCCGCCGCCGCCCGGACGCTGTCGTCGATCGACCTCGTGTTCACCATCCCACCGCAGCTCACCCATCACCCGTGCCCGTAGGCCCTCCGCAACGCCCTCCAGGCCGGCGACATGCCCGCCCGCGCCAGCCTGTCCGCCGTCCTGGGCGTGGCGCGCCAGCTCGCTGGGCCGTCAGCTTCCTGCGCACGCGCGACTTTGTGCACAAGAACGTGCGGCCCGAGGCCGCCCTCTTGCTCGGTCCGGGACCGGGCGCCGCCGCCGGGGGGTGGCGGGGCAGCGGCGAGGTGTAGATCACCGCGTGCCTGGTCGGGTTCGACTCGTTCGGGGGCGCCATATCGCACACGGCCAGGAAGGACGACGGCGACTGGCGGAGTAACCTGTACCGGCACCCGTCGCGGCAGGGCCCGCTGGCGCAGGACAGCTACATTATGCAATACGACGTGTATAGCCTAGGCGTGTGTCTGCTGGAGCTGGGGTCCGGCGGGAGCTTCGTCGAGTATTCGGAGGTGGCCAATGGGCAGTAGCAGTAGTTTCACGTGCGTCCTAGCGGCTGTCTGTTGGACGTCACAACCACCGGCGAAGGTGTGACGGACAAACGGTGCGAGATAGGGTCTATTGTGTATTGAGCTAGATCTCTGAAAGAGAAGGGAGGACGGGCACAGGGCCGAGGGCCCTGTGCCCTCCTTATATACAGCAGCCCCCTCTCTTGTAGGCGCGGTACTCGCTACCGCACCCCCGTCATTGCCGACGAGTGCTCGGCAAGCATCTACCCTGTGCGGCACCGGTGCTCCGCACCGGTGCCCGTGCAGATCGTCCGAACAAGGCCTGGAACAGTGTGCCGGCCCTTGGTGATAGCCTCCTTTGTGACAGAAGGTCTTGGGTCTATTCTCGGCGCCGGATGTCCAATCTGGCGACGTCGGGCTCAAGGACCACCCGGTGCGGCTGGCAAACGCGCGTCTGCCCGCCCGGATGGGCGACCTGTATACCGCTGTCGTAGTTACCTGCCTCATGTGTCGACCAAGACAATGGCGATTTTGGTGACGAGGAGGATACGCGTGACGACGATAGGATCCTTATTGGGATGCGCTTCATCGAGGGGGTGTTTATTTGGCTCAACAACATCTCCGTTTGATAATCTAGTTGTTGGCTAGAGCACAAGATGGGGGCCGACGCCGTGACTTTCTGTGCTATTCCCCCCTCATTTCCTCCGAGCACAGGACATTCGTGTGCCCATGTTGGTCGCAAGCGCCTCTGGACCTCACCTGCGTCACCCGCACTACTACTGACTGCTAGTGTCAAGTGCCCTTCCCATCCTCCCATGGAAATCACCCCATTCTACTCTTTTCTTCTTCCGCTCTTACCAGCCTGCCCCCTTGCGTCTCGGAAATCCTCTCATTTTGGATTCCTTCCAGTGCTTCTGGGCATCACGCCAGGCCTTGCGCCTGTTTTCCTGAGCGAGGCAATCCTTCTTTCTGCTCTCCTGCGCCGCCTGCCTCAAGGCCACCTCCCGGGCCTCCCTCTCCGTCTTCCTGCGGACATTTCTGATCGCTATGTTCTTCTTCTTCCTCTCGCGCTTGGTGAGCTTCTTAGGGTGGTCAAGGCCCACGTCGCAGGCGCCCTTTAACTGCGCGACCCAGAACTCCATCTTGTTCACCTTGCGCGAGAGGCGCCTGATTATCTCGCGGCCTGCCTTTATGTCGGCCTTGAAGAATTCCAGCTGGGTGGTGACCTCGACAGTGCGGCGCGCCAAAGCCGCCTCCACCTTGTCGGTGCGCGCCCCAACGCGGAGAGCGCGCTTCTCGAGCTCGGCATGGCGCTTCTCGAGCTCGGCAAGGCGCTTTTCGAGCTCGTCATTTTTATTTGCGAGGCTGCTGCGTCCAGCCCTATTCTTTGGGATCTGCTGACGCAGGAGCGTTAGAGCTGTCGTTTGAACTGGGAACGCAAGTATACCCGAACGGGAAGCAGAACAAGTAGAACTTTACCTCAATCCCTTCCTTGCCAGTCTCGCATGCGCCACTTTGAACATTTGCCAGTCTTGTGGCTTCTCTCTCCTTGCGCCTCCTCTCCCTCTTCTCGCGCCTCATCTGTATCTTTTTCACTCTCGCCGCGTCGTTCCTGGTCTGGACTGGATATTAGGATTCGCCCAGCGCTTTGGACTCTATAAAGGAACAATGTGCTTACGGTCTCCATGATGTTGCAAGAATTGGTGACTGCTTTCTGGTGCGAGTGGTTGGCTGCTTGCCTCTGCGAGAAAAGCTTGGTTGTAGACTAATCATAGATCGACAACGGCCGCTCTGGAAGGGAAGATTCCAGATAGCTGGCGTAAGAAATTTTGAACAAAACTTAGGCATTCAATCAGTCACAGTAATGCATCCCCACTGGGAGACTTGGGATGAAATGTGGGGCATAGGAATTCTAAAGTCCAAGGTGCAATTCGAATTAGGCCCAACGCGCCTTCCTCAACAACAGGGCACCCTGATCTGCAGGCTGTCTTCTTGAAATTGCCGCCGCCTTTATCCCGACCTCTGCTGGCCTTTTCCTCCCGCATCTCCATCGCCATCTTAACCTTCTGTCGAATTGGATTCCATTCGACTTTTTCCATTTTCCAGTCCCCCGCCTACTCGGTAAGTACTTTTTGATTTTCTACGTTTTTATTTTCCAGGTTGCGTTTTCTTTCCCTAAACTTTGCTTTCCCATTCTTATTTTTGCTTCTGGCTTTTATTTTCGAGTTTCTCTCCTTTGTGTCTTTTGTCCCTTCCCACTTCCTTGTTTCTTTGTTTATCTCTCCCCAGATTTCTCTCACCTGCCCCTCACCTCGCTCTCATTGTCTTTCAAACCTCAATATTTGGGACTTTGTGCGTGGTCAAAGCGCCCACAACAAGAAAAAATTGCCCAAATTGGAAAAAAGTTTTCACCCGAGCCCCACTTAGCAACCCTCAACCACTTTTTATCTTCCTTCCAACTTTTTCTTTCCCGGCTTGTTCCTCCTCTCAATTAACAAACCAATCCAACCCATTACAAGCATACCCAAAATGCCATTCCTCAAGGCCGAGGCCGCGATCCGGCGCTTCCAAGCGCAGCACAATCTCCCAATCCGTGGTGCTGAGGTCTTGGACGACACCGAGGCCATCTACGATGTAAGTCTGTCTACTCCTCTACTTCTGCAAGAGCAACTCTGATAACTTCCAACCAGGACGGCCCGCTCGGTCCCCAAGTCGCCGACCGTCAGCCCGTCGCCGCGCACGATGGCGACAGCGACGAGGTCGACGCTGACGACAATCACGACGACGCCGATGCCGAAATGGCAGAGCTCGCAGACGAGATCCGACTGAAGGAACTGCGAGAGGAATTCGTAAGTCCAGCCATTCCATTTGGTTCAATCCAGAAACACGCTTTCTATACTCTTCCACCCCACTCCCGCCTTTCCATCTTGGAGTCTTTCCGCTCTTCTGCATCCTATCCTGCCATTGGGGCACCTTCGTCCCTGTCAAAGGTCGTGGCGTGGGCGCGTGCGATATCCTGCGAACATTCGGGACTCTGTTGGCCTCTCGCCTCTCTGTCTGTCTGTCTGTTCAATGGATAAGCCCATCTGGATCTACCTACTTGCCTGGTAGATATCCCGCCACGACATCGCCGTTCGAGTAGTTGGGGGGCCCAGGGCACACCGCTACGAGGCGTTAGGCACGAAGAACCCCTGCTATCCCCACGCGAGACCCCGGCCCGTCTCGCCCCCGACGGTGTAACTACCTGACAAGCACGACCCGGGTGTCACCAACCCCCTGCTGCGATGCGGCCTGGAGGGAAGAAGAAGCATCGGCAGATCATGGTCCATCTCCCATTTTGGCAGGGAGCCTCTGGATCATGGGAAGTCTAGGTCCATTGTCACCTTGGCAGACAATTTGGATTTCAGACAGTGGTACTCCTTTGGAGTACCCGCTCGATGTGGATCTTCCCGAGAACATCTGTCTATCATGCCCACATGGTTAGGGGCGATTGAGCCGACGCCTTGGCAAGACAGAGCACCTCAGGGGGTCCGTCGTCGTTCTTGTCGGGTATGAGTGCACAACACACCGGAAGGAAGCACGCCAGCTCCACCGGGCCCAGTATGCGGTGTCAAAGCCGGTGCTGGAGGGATATGCGGGAGTGGATGCAAAAGAGCAGGAGGATTCCCACGACAATCACAGACTGCGCGCTTTCCTTTGGACTTACTCAGTAGGATCTCCCTGCTGACTGGACTGTATTCGCCGATGAAGCAGGCTGGCCGTGCAGCCCCCACACAAGAAGAGCTCAACGAGGCTACAGAGGATGTCGAGACTAGAGAGTTCATTCGAGCCGAGCGAGTCGCGCAGCTTGAGGACGCCGTGAAGACTTTGAAGGACATCGGACAGCAGGACAGCATCATCGGCAAAGGGCTCACTGCATCTCTCGATCTCGCCAAGCATCGCGATATTGAGCAGCGCCGCAAATTCAATAAGATGAAGCGAGAGCTGCGGACGTGGATGTATACGGCTTTGGATGACATGTTCAAACCATCCATCGAAGCCAGCCATACAAGGATGCACGAAATCATGCTCGCGGCCATTCCAGGACTCGGTCCGGTCTTCGATGATATGCTCGAGGACATAAAGTCGAATGAGGACCAGCTCGAGGACCAGCTCGTGGCCCGGTTCTCCGAGAGGGCCAATAATCTGCGCGCCGAGGTGTCCGAGATTGCCAAGAATATGCGCGCCGAGGTGCGCGCCGAGATGTCCGAGATGTCCGAGATCGTCAAGAATATGCGCGCCGAGATGCAGGTCGAGCTGCGTCAGACGGGAGCGGGCGACTCTCAGCGCCTCGCGACCCTGGAGAACAGGGTGGCGCTCCTGGTCCACCGTGAGGGCCGCAACGGCCGCCGCCTCGAGAATATCAATGAGGCCATTGATCGCAAGGTTTGTCAAGCCAGTCGCGCTCGCTTCAATCTTCCCATTACCCCTTCGATATGTCTCTGGTTAAGCTAACTTTACTTTGCTTTGCGTGATCGAATAATAGCTCGACCGGTTTGAGAGGAAGCTGGACAGCATCGAGAGGAGGCTGGACAGCTTGGAGAGGAAGGCGTGATGGGCCTGGTGGTGGGCTGACATGGCATAGCTGAGGAAAAGACTATGGATGGCAGTATTGGGAGGAAAGCCCAGATAGGAGCTTTTGGAATGTGCAAAATAGCTTGGGCCATTAGTCGCTGATAGGCATTTCACATTCCAGCATTTGCAATCCCAATCCCAGAATTTGAGCAGACTCGTGATTTGAATGCATTTTTCGTTGATACGATCGTGATGATGAAAACGGAACATTGAGTGTTCTTATTTCTGGTTCTTTTCTTCTTGCCTTTCCTCTCGCTCTTCCTGCATACAAAAACGACCATCACACGAAATTCACAGTTCTTGATCCAGGGACTGTATATGGTCGACGTTTTGTCAGGTCTGAGAAGTGAGGGCAGCAGAGAAGGTGCTCCATGGAACTGCTGGCTTTGGTTTTGAGGTGCCAGGAAGGAACACGGACATGGGCGGGCCGGAGCATCGGTGTTAAGATTTGCGCAGTGGGCTACGGTCAGCGGTGGCATGCATTGGCGTGTTGTACTGCGAGTCTGGGTGAAAAGATGAATGAATACAAAGCAACTATGTAATATTCATACATCTGAAGCGTGTCGATATCTTCTCCGTGGCAAATCTGGCGGCGCCACCTTCCAGCATGACGGCACAGGATCGAAAAAAGACCAACGTACTCCTACAAAAGAGGCCCAACAAGCCGGGAAACAACAAAGGACGCCGCCGGCACAAAAGACAAGCGGCAAAGCAAGAAAAGAAAGAGGAAGAAAAGAGTCCGCCGTCACCTGCGCCTGTAGAACTCGTCCTGGCCCTGCGCCCCCGGCAGCGCGCGCGTGCACTCGGTCATGGCGTTGATGTTGCCGACGCCCAGCAGGCTCAGGCGCACCGCCTCGCGCGCGTAGGCCGCGTTCCACGCGCGCTGCCCGTTGCCGGCCGCGAAGCCGCGGAAGGCGTCGGCCGTGCGCTGGTCCACGGCGATCTTGAGGTCGCTCGGGAACACGAAGACGTTCTCGCCGCCCTTGCCACCCTTGCGGCCGTGCCGGTCGTAGCCGGCGGTGGCGTTGGCGCGTCGCCTCTTCTGTATGTTGGTGTTGTTGGTGCTGCTACTGCTGCTGCTATTGCTGGCGACGCTGTCGATCTCGGCGACGTCCTGGCCCGCAGCCGCGGCCACCGTCTGCCGGTAGTAGAGCGTGTCCCAGGTCCCGGGAGTGCTGTCCTGGGGGTCGTCGGCGCGCGACGGGTCCACGAGACGCTGGCGGCTGGTGGTGTGGGCGCCAATCAGGGCCGCCAGACCGTTAGGCTGGATTGTTTTATCCTGAAATAGTCTAATGTTGAAGTCGGCGCTGGCATCCACGGGCGGCAGTAGGCCGTCGGGCGCGGCCTGGTTGGAATCTTTGCGGCCGATAAAAAAGCGCACGCGAGGACCCAACGGGCATGTCATAGTGGCGTGGGCGGCCCCGAACTGCACCAGGTCGGCCATGCCGATGCCGTCGGCCCTGAACTGGTTGAACCACTTTTTGTGCTGCGCGACGATCTCCTCCATGCCGAGGTTGTCGTGGCGCCTCATCTCCTCGGGCGCCAGCACGATCGACCCGTCGGCACCGCCCACGGCGCCCATGGACGAGCTCCAGGCGGCGGCGTCGTGGAAGCCGAGCCGGATGGCCTGGCGGGCCAGCGAGTTGCACTGGCCGCCGTCGCCGACGAAGGCCTCGGTCATGGCCGCCGAAACGTGGCGGTACGCGCAGCAGGGGTCGCCTTTGAACTCGGCCGACGCTCGCTCTGGCAGCTCGTTCACCCCTGGTACGCGTCGGCGCTCTCGGCCAGCTCGCCGCTCACGGGCGTGACGAGCATGTTGCGGATCGAGCGCCCCACGGGCGTCAGCGCCGGCTCGGGCGTGACCGCCAGGTCGCCGATCAGCGCCGTCGAGTCCAGCGGCAGCTGAGCTCCGCCCTGCGCGCCCGTGTCGGCCGCGCGGGCTTGGATTTCCTGTAGTAGGTTCTTGAAGCCCGGGTGCGCCAGGGCCGGCTGTACCGGGCCGCCGACGCCTGCCGCCAAGGCCAGCAGTGCCTTTGCCAGGATTGATCGGCGCATGCTGGCTATGGTGTGGGGTTTGTCCTTTCCTGGCTGGGGGCTGGGAGGACTGAGTTAACGAGGGTCTGTTTGTCTCGTTGCTGTGTGGAAGCAAGCAAATAACGAAAGAAGCACTGCTTCTCCCCGTGTGTTGGCAGCGAGAGGCCTGATCAAAATACTAATAACAGAGTGAAAGACAAAGAAAACAAGGGAAGGGGGAGCGAACGAGGTGGAGCGAAGGAGAGGGCGAGACGACGATGCGTAAGTGACTAAGAAAGATCAGTACAAAATGCGTGGTCCTGACTAGTGACAAGGAGGTAAGCAGCTGGCTGCTTATAAACGGCAGAAGGGCGTCCTCGTAGGAGCCAGTGGATGGCAGCGGCGGCGAGTGGTCCCATGTTGGATGAGAACAAATCTGGAAACACGTGCGGTAACGCCAGGATCTGCTACAGCCAGTGCGCGCGATCAGTATCCCTCTCAGACTGCCGCCTTTGCCGAGACTGATCCTAGAGAAGGACGGATCCGTCTCCAGACCGTCTTCCCCCGCGTCTCAGGCCAGCCTGGCCATCGCGTCTCCGTGATGGATGAGGGTGGATAAACGCAACGCTGGCCAGATCTTCTGCATCTCCTGCACGCAAGTCTAAATGGCGGAGAGATGGCAAGATGGTCCACCGCTCGTGGGAGGCACCGAACAGTATCATATCGTGGTTGCTATGTGATAATCATTAAGACGCTCTCACCGCGGAGATGGTCTTGTAGCTGGCGGGCAGTCTGACCAAAGAAAGCACGAATGACTACGCTGGGCCAAAATGAATCTGGAATCTCCCAAGACAGCTTGTGCCGCTACATAACATGCACACGCATGTGAGACGTCACAGGCAGGCACCTGTCTTGCCTGCTGCCGGTGTGCTCCTTGTGATATGGCATATGACGCTCCCGTCGCTGTTGCCCATCTTGGAATGTCCACGTCCGCTTGATTAATAACGTGGACCTCGCCTGCAGCGGCGTCAGTGGCCTTTGTGTTCCTAAACTTCAGCCCAGCCGAGACTTTGCGACCCAAGTTCGGATATTGTTCGCACAGCCCCACCGCTATCCAATGCTTCGACGATTGGGCACCAGGCAACCGGACACGGCAAACCACAGAGCAGACGGCTGGTCGCCAGATGACGGCCCGCCTTGCGGGTGGCTCGGTGGCCCGGTCTGGGCTTGACTTCGGCTCTGCGTCTGACATCCAAAAATAGGCTCGTCCGAGCCCCCAAGGCCGGGAGACTCGGGCGTTCTGGTAAGCTAGGGGCGTCCCTGCCACAGACGCCGGGTCCGACCGCGCGCCCTGTCTTTCGGCCGGCGCGGCGGGCAGACATGGGACGATGGAGGCCAAGGTTGGGCTGATGTGGGCTGCTGGGACCGACCAAAGTCTGCTGTAGAGCGGCACGAATGCGTGGCCATTGACGCCTGGAAGTGGCTGGCTAGGAGATGGTCGCTTGACCCGTCGGGACAAGGGAGCCACAGCAGCGGCACTGGACTCGATTATGAGGCCGCCAGCCTACTGCCGACAACCTTGCTGAGCAGCAAATCCAGATCGGCTCCATGGCCGACACGCCAGCCAGAATCGCACAAGTCAAACGTCTGCGCCACACATACAAGGAAGCCTTCGTCAAGACACTTGAAGAAATCCGCCTCACAACATGACATCCACCTTCTCCCAGATTCACATCCATTCCGGCTACCCCAGAAGCGAACGACGGCGCTGACGACAGCGATACCGACGCCGAGATGGCAGACCTCGCCGACGAGGTCCGCCTCGATCGGGAGCGACAGAACCTCGCAAGGCGGCCCTGCGCCCGGTAGTCGGCATACCCATCAGCGAGGCGCAAGACTGCGGCCGATGCAGGGAGGAGGGTCGCCGCTTGCACGGTTGTCCAACGGCTGGGAGATCGAGGAGTTCAGCCGCGGGGCCGATTTGAGCTGTTGCGCCTTGGCTCCAGCGCCGGACAGGCCGCCACTTGCATCTTACCCTTTTCGTGCGTGGGCAACACGAAGGAGCTGAGGGGGTGCCCAACTTGCGGCCGGGTGCTAGTACAGCTAAACGGCAGTGTCGCCGACGGTGACATTGTCCCTGACTGCGCCATGAGGTCGCGTTCCCTCTTCCCCACTATGCCGACTAGGTAGTGTACGTCGGCGTGTTGAAGTTCTCTTGGAAGCAGGAGTACGCCGCGCCGCCGCGCCCTCTGAGGATTTTGCGAAGTCCTGGTATCATTTTTCGACCTCCTTTTGGCCACCAATGTCAGCACACAACACATTTCCGTCGCAACCTCGAGTGTTTCCCAAGGCAAACATCTTCTTGTTCTTCGGTCAGTGTCGCACATGGTGTTTATGGTGCGCGTGGGGGGAGCTGGGTCGGAAATGTCCGGCGTCGACTGTGTTGGGGGTGTCCCGTTGGCACCCTTTCTGCCGCGAGTACCGGGGACACGTGTCACATTTGTGAGGTACGCAGGGATTTTTCTCCCAAAGAATTCAGCGAAGAATACAGCCAAGCCTTTCAGCAGATACATTGAGGTGAAGAATGCCCTAGCGAGGTGGCCATCGCAAAGCACTGCTTTGAAAGCAGTGCAGTCCGTCCAATCGTTTGCGCCGCCCATATTCCACTCTCATGCAGCAAGCGCCGATGCGCCCTTGATGGATGCGTTGGCGTTGGTAGTGCTGGCCGCTAGCGGAAGAGGTCAGGCTGGAATCTCACCACCCCTCCTCGGTCCCTCTTCCCCTTTCCCGCCGCCCCATGTGCCCATCCTCTGTTTCCATCGGTCTAGCACTCACAGTTTCCGGCTTATCAAGTCGTACTATTGGGGGACTAACCGCCATTCGGAGGCTCAATTATGGGATCGGGATTTGGATATGTGCAAGGAGTTCCTGTTGGTTACTGTGGCTTGCACCTCGGCTTTACCTATCTCTTAGCCCGCCGCACTGGATACTTCTCAGCGAACATGCACGGCTACCGCACCCGAGTGCGCCCCCAAATCTTGGAATGCACAGGACCTTGCTCGAGGACCTAACCGCGCCGTCACACGGCTTGCCTCAGGTGGCACTTTCTTCCACCACTTTGCACGGGGCATTCGTCGGCCTCACCAAGTAATCCGGGCACCATATTTTCGGGGTTGTATAATTCCTCGAAATTCATTGTTCAGAGATACCTCCAAACTTAGTCCCGCTCGATCGAATGAACCTGCTGCTCAATACCTTTTGCGGCGCCGCGTTTCAAATCAAACGCCATTCACGGACTGGAGTATTAACCGGGGTTGCCTCAGCTGGCCCCCAGCGATGCGAGGCGAACGCCCAGGTGGGCCGCCAACAGGGCGGGGCATGCGTTAGCGCGATGCGATGGCGCCTTGCGTGAACATACACAGCCCGTATATCCTCGGGGCCAAGTTCTCTCCACCGGATTCCGGGAGCGGCAGCACACACCCGTGGTGCAAATTATTTCTTTCGCGACCTGCTCCCTCGGAGAAGCAGAACCAGCGGCTGCCTTCCTCCTCCCCACCCCCTTCCGCCGACCAGAGTTGCTCTCCTGCCACCATGGATTCCATCGCGACACATTCCACCCTCCGGGCGACATCAAATCACAACCCCGGGCCTGTAAGCACTGTGTCGGTTGCGTCGCCACCTCACAGCTCAAGCCACCAGGGCCATTCTAGCCAGCGAGACAATATCAACAAGACTTCAATAAGTGAAACCTCGGCCTTTCTCGGCGACGGAGATGACGGCGGCCACTCGCAGCAGGTATTTGACCCAGTTTCGTGTCGGAGCACTACGTCGGCTGGGTTTTGGGGCGATCTTAGCCTGGATATTCTGCAAATACTTCTGGTCATCCCGTTCATCGTACTCGGCATTATCGTGCTCGTCGAGAACGGCAAGACGACCACCGAGGTCGGCTGGTTACCCCATATCATCACCGCGGCAACTTACGTACGTACCAATATATATGCATGCTAGTTTATTTCACCCCCAAAAACTGTATACGAGCTAGATGGGGGAGGCTCGGTTCTAAACAAAAAAAAGAGCAAATGGTCCTAACTAACAACCTAATCCAAACTCCATGTCATTTTTTAGGGTCCAACTATCTTCCCTCTACTATTTGCGTCAGTTGTCGGCCGGTTTATGAAGGCTGCCGAGTACTGGAAGCTAGAGCGTCGATCTACAATCGAAACAATCGAGCAGCTCCACGGCAGCCGCACCGTTATCTCGGCTTTTATAACCCAGTTCCAGCTCCAAAGCTTCAACCTTTTGGGGTTCGGCATCGTCCTTATTTGGGCCCTCTCCCCCGTCGGATCACAGGCAGCACTTAGGGTCGGTGCAATCGTCCCTGTCGTCAACAATATTGGTCTCGATCTATCATATCTGGACGTAAGATCAACGTATAACCCAAACGACTCTGATTACTCCAAGTTGCTCGCCGGGACCCTATTTACCACATCCATTCTAATGCCTGCAAGGGCCCAGTCGGAGGATGCCTGGGACGTTTGGGGTAACGCGCGGATCCCAATGGTTGAAAGTCTGGATGGCTCAACGTCAGACATGGGCTGGATATCAACTGAAGGTCGCAACGTCTCGTACGCATCGCTCATTGGCATTCCGATGCTTGTCAACTCGACCCTCGAGGCGGCCGAAGGCGTAAACGTTTCATTCTCTTTCGACACGTCGTATTGGTGGCTTAACTGCAGCACCCAGCAAGTCACAAACGCCTCCTGGGCGTTCCCCGACTCTTTGCCCAACAGCACATTTGGCGACGGCACCACACGCATGGCATGGACAAGCAATTTTCGTGTCATCGGTTCCAACCCAGAAGTTCTGCCCCTAAACGACACTGAGGCGGCCAAGGTTTGGGGCGGGTTCCCGTGGGAGCCCCGCCGTGTGCACTTGTTAGCCAACAACACGCGCGGGATCGGGACGAGGTTCGCTGCCAGCTGCAATTTAACGACAACCTTCGTCAACGTCAACTCTACCTGCAGCGGTGCCGGTACCGCCCGCTCGCTCCAGCGGTGCCGTGCGACGGCTGTCCGGCAAACACACTTGAACGCGACCCGAAGCTCAATCTCGATCCTCGACATGATCGGGGTCGGCCGCCCAGATATGTTTTTCGAAAACTTCCTTTCAGCGTCCGAAACCCCTACCGGCCCCGGCCGCCGGGCCCCTGCCCTAAGCCCACAGGTCGGCTACCTCGCCAACCCGCGCGCCCCTTTCGCGTTCCACACTGATTGGGCCGACTGGAGGGAGGTATCAGCTCGCGACTTCAGCATCCGCTTTACCCACATGCTCAATACGTACTGGATTAGCGCCATCGGCTATAAGCCCGTACAGGGCGATTTTACGAGACGCATGGAACGCCCGAGTGCCCCTGGCGGACTCGGCGGGAATGGCATATTTGTGGAAACGAACCAAGGCGCCGCGGGCATCCCTCGACAAGCATTTAAAGCGGACGTTATATGGACGGCCGTCCTGCTGCTAGCCTCGGCAGTATTGTTAAGTGCCGCTGCGGCAACACTGGTGCTAAACCTAGGACGCAAGTACCCCGATGGATTGGAAAACTTTTCGAGCCTGCTTTGCAATACCCCATACGCTCGAATAGTATCGGATGGGCAAAGGTGGCCTGCAACTATATCGTCCATGTTGACTGGGTTCGAACGGGCTAGGCTGCTCAAAAATGTGGAGGTCCAAGTTGGCGATGTGGCACCAACTGCGCCTTATGGCTACGTTGCTTTGTGCACGCCTGCGACGATTAACATGGAAAGATTAAAAAAAGAAAGGCAGTATCTGTAGCTGTCACAAAGGAGGCTATCACCAAGGGCCGGCACACTGTTCCAGGCCTTGGCACGGAGGATCTGCACGGACACCGGTGTCCGCACCGGTATTGCACCGGGCAGATGCTTACCGAGCACTCGTCGGCAATAACAGGGGTGCGGTAGTGGGTACCGCACCTGCAAGAAAGGGGATCACTGTATATAAGGAGGGCACAAGGCCGAGGGCCTTCTGCCCGTCTTCCCTTCTCTTCAGAGATATAGATAAGCATACAATAGACTCTATCTTGCACCGTTTGTCCGTCATAGTAGCTTAAGGGCTTGGCGTTTAGCTAGTAAAGAATAATAGTACGAGACGAGGATGTTGGTGCTGAGGGTTGGTTCTGGCTTGCCAAATCCTATTATTTGCCGGCATCAATATCATTCTAGCCTGTCGGTCGCGTGCTACTAGCTAGCCTAGTTTATTGTATGGATTGGTGCTTTAGGCATATACTTTTTTGGCGCAACGTAACGGCACGGCAAGGGTTAGGAACGAACTAGTAGCTGCGCCGGCCGCGGAGCGATATTTACTTCGGGTCAGCTCCAGCAGCCTTAGGCTCGGCTATTCTCCTGATGCTCGGGAGGATCGCTAACCGGAAGGCGGTAAAGAAAGCAATGAACAAAGGCCTGCCCCGGGGTGCAAACCCGGTTCCAAAAGGTGGATCTCTCGCCCAAGGAGAACCTTCCCCAGGCGTCTCGGCCACCATTTCCATCAAATTATGGGGTCATGATCGCCTCAGCATCTGAGGAGCACTGCTACTCCTATCCAGAGAATTCTTCACGGCCGAGTATTGAAGCTGAGGACAACAGCTGTCAGGGACGGCTCGAGACGGACGCTGCCGGCGATGGCGTCAGGGACTGAAGCCGAGGAGTCCAATCATAGTTTTTTTATAGTTTTACAGCGGGGCCCCAAGACGGATGATTATCAAGATAGATGTGAGCCGTGGGTATCTGCGCTAGAAGCAGAACCGAGGCTGACCTCAGAATCGGCTCAGAAGGCAATAAAATAGACGTTGACTCAACTAGTCCAACACTGCAAAAGTTTGCCCTCTGTCCACGCTCAGTGACTCGCGCAGCCGTACAGCATTTGCCACGCGAGCAGCCGTATGACTGTATTTATTGTGCTGCTCCATAAAGAGTGTGTAGCCAAAACCCGGCTCTCTGGTCCATTGACCCGTTTCACCCTCCTTGTTTTTCTCTCTTGGCCACAAGGCATCCATCCTCCCGCGTACCACTCGCCCACGCCGCGTCGGTACCTGGGCAGAAAGTCACCACAACATTACGCGTTGCCGGGCCTCTGACAATACCTACTGGCACCATCACGCATACAAAACAGTTCAAAGAAAAAAAACTCAAAACAAGCCCTATCATCAACTCGCCCTGTCGCCATGCGCCGACACGATCACACACACATGGGAACCCCCCAGGATCCCGCCTCCTGGGCACTCACGGCCTCACCGCCGCCCATGGCCGACGACTGGACCTCGTGCAACCCGGCCGTGCTGGCCCTGGTCGACCGCATCGTCGACACGTACCGCGACAGCCCGGAGCACCGCGTCTTCGAGTTCCTCGACAACGCGCACCGCGAGCCCGTGACCCGGCGCAGCTACACGCTCGAGCTGACGGGCTGCGGCCTGGCCATCGACCACCGCTTCGACTTCGCCGCGGCCGGCCAGTCGCCGCGCCGCCCGGCCCGGTCCGTCACCTTCCGCGCCGCGCACTGGCTCGGGCTTCACAGCGGCGACAAGAACATCACGGCCGGCGCCGGCGGCGACGACGGCAGCCGCAGCAGCAGCAGCAGGGCCGGCCTAGACCCGCGTGGGCACCTAACCCAGTACCCGGGAGTGACATTCCAGCAGCAGCAGCAGCAGCAGCAGCAGCAGCCGCCGCCCCGCCAGTACCTGCTGGGCGCCAAGCTGGACGTCGACTACGCGCGCCGCCACGACGCGGCCGAGCTCGAGGGCGGCCGCTGCCCCGTCGGCTTCTGGCACCACGAGGAGGACGCCGCCGAGGCGGAGCAGCAGCAACAACAGCAGCCGGGCGGCAGCCGGCCGCGCGTGCGTGTGCACCGCAGCTTCCTGGGGGCCTCCTTCGCGCAACTTCTGGACCGCATGGACGCGTGGGCGTGCGCCCCCATGGACTACAAGGAACAGCCCGTCTGGCTGCTTGAGGGCATGCTGCTGTCGCTCGTGCTTTTCATGCACCCGCGCGTGGCGCGTGCGGCCGTTGTGGTCCCCGACCACAAGTTTCCCGAAACCGGCAGGGTCACGCACCGCTGGGGTGTGCCGGGCCAGACTCCCGAGGCCGCGCTCGAGTGGCTGCAGTCGGCCATATCATATCTGCCGATTCTGCCCTAGCTTGGGGGCTTCAGGGAATCAAGGTCCGGTGGGCTGATTATTACACTACCTGGCAACTCAAGGGAATGGTGGTCCGTTTCCAAACGTATTCATAGCTAGCCAAGATTCTAGATACCCTCACGCAAGTGATCTTGACACCCGAAAACCCGCTACACGGCTGAGCCTAACCAGTCGAGCGTGATCTTCGGGGGTCTGTTCCACATTTCCATCATCTGCTGCGGCGTCGCCACGCCCCTTTGAACTGCAAACACTGCCGTGACGAACCGCATGACTTTTTCGCCCGCCCCAGCGTCGAGCGAGTGCTGGACGCAGGGGATCAGGGTCCGCGGGACCATCAGGTTGCTGTTTGAGTGCCCCTTGATCATCTTGACCACGCCCCGCGCCGCCTCCATCCCCGAAGCCGCCGCCAGATCCAGTATGCCGCTGGCCCCGGACTCGGAGATGACGAGGGCGCAGGTCGCAGCAACCCACCATCCCTCAGGCAACTCCCCGTCGTCGCCGGATGGCGTTGGGAACTCGGAGCCACAGGGGCTCTCGTAGATGGTGGCGCCGTGCGTCGTCTCCGCCGACGCCGCGAACCCGCCGTCGGTAAAGTCTATCTTTCCCAGCCTCTCCGGGCTGATGGCGGCGCTCCCGCCCCAGCGCACCTCGTGCACCCGGACGTGCCAGCCGGGCCACCTGTCCTGCGAGGGCGGCAGCAGCGTCGTGCCGACCTCGAGGTCGAGGAACCGCCACGGGCGCCAGGTGCTGGATATGGCCGTCAGGGCCTCGGGACTGGTTGCGGGCGTGGCGTTCGGGGGCGGGAGCAGCAGAACCTGCCTCGGCTCCGCGTCCGAGGGCTCGAAGCGGGCAACCCACGAGTTACCATCGTCAATGCTAGCGCAGAGGGTGCTGTCGGCGCCGACGTGGTGCAGCATGGTGCCGACGGGGACGCTGAAGCCGAACGAGGACGAATAAGCGAACTTGCAGTACTTGGCCTCTCTCCCCTTGTGATAGACTTTTGTTGACTGCCCGGACGATAACAGAAAGTGATGTTCTGGGGTGCTACACATCATGTGCCGCGGGGCCTTGAGGAAGTCTAGGATCGGGGGAGTTGCCGTTTGAGACGGGTCGAGGGGGTGAGGGAGCTCCTCGCTCATCCAGAATGGGTGATCTTCTGGGGCCCCCAGCACGACAAAAGCCTTCAAACACCAGTAAACGGACTGCGGCGAGCTGTAATCCTCGGACATGTTCATGCTCCCATCTAGATAGCAGGGACGCCACCGTTAGTGTGTTCCCCCCGCAGGCTCAGGGTTGGACTGTCTCACAAGTAAAGCCAATATTCATGGTTCCGTCCGTGTTAAAAATGTGTGGCTTGGCTGCCCACCAGCGAATATGGCGCATCAGCAGCCCTTTGACGGTCCCCCGCTTGTCGAGAGGTGCGGCGAGCTGAACATCAACCAAGGCCACGGCCGACCAGAAGGCGGCAAAAGCGAACCTGTAGGTCAGGCTCCTCCCGAAGGGTATTGCAGCTCCTGTAGGGCGAACCAGAGCTGTTTAGAGTGAGTTAGCCATGCAAATAAGTTGGGAGACGCTCACCGTCGAGGGCGAAATATCTCCAGAAACCGCCAGCGAAGGCGCGGGCCCCGTCCCTGTAGCTCGCCACCCTCTCCGGGTCGGCCATGGCGCCGGCGTAGCGGACGTAGAGCAGTTGCGAGAGCTGGATGGCAAAGCTGCCGGAGTAGTAGTCGACCTGCTTCCGCTGGTCGCACCACGGCCCATCGCTAGACCAGCCGTCGGAGATATAGAACGAGTCGAGCAGGGCCAGATCGGCGTCCACCACCTGCTCTACCTCGTCGCGCGGCACGCCGAGCACGTTGACAAGCGCCAGGTTTACAAATACGCGGAACCAGCGCCAGTTGTTGCGGCCCATTTCATGGTCGTTGATCTGACGTAGCCACGCCACGAGTCGGTCGCGGCGGGATCCGGGAGGAGGCGCCAGGGTCTGAGACGAGACAAGCAGCGCGTATGCGATGGATTCCATCTCGACCATCCGCTGGTCTGACGAGCGAAGATGGCCCCAGTACTCGGGCGACGAGGGGTCGGTGCCGGCGTCCAGGCCCGAGAGCCACGTATCGAGGCCGACGCCGGCGGGCTCGGCGCCGGAGAGGAGGCGGCCGTTTAGCAGGCTGGCGACGACCCATAGCGGGCGGGCGAAGCCCTCGAGCTGCGCGGCCGTCTCGCTGAAGCTGGTGCCCGTCGCCGCCGCGAGCTTGATGCGCGCCCCTGCGGCCGACTTGTAGGGTGCCAGTGGTCTGAGAAGGGAGGAGCCAGCATGGACCAGATCTGAGCGTGTCTTGAACGGGTTATCAGAGAAGCCTGTAAGCCCCGGCATCTTGTTGGTTCTGGCAGTTGTATATATATATAGAGAGCAACACAGGTGCAGTGGGCGACTTGTCAGTTTATATGGATTTTTCCTCCATGATTTCTTCCGTAAGGGGTCCCTCTAGCGCGGCATACAGGCCGATAGCAGACCAAGACAGTAGCGATGGAAGTGGAGATGGAAATGTCAGCAAGGGCTGGAGAAGAAGCGTAAATCAAGGTGGTTTTGTTGTGCGAGCTCTTTCGGAGAAGGGTGCATTAGCTCGGAATCCGCCTTCCGGTTTGGTTGGTACGAGTAGTACGAGCCCAGTAGAAATAGCAGCCACAAAGGCCACGAGGAAGTAGCAGGTTACATCAACCCACAAGTAATGCAGTCATAGAGTGTGTGCCAACCTCGTGCGTGCTTGTTTTGAGCACTCGACGAGTGACCATGTCTGGCCAAGAAGGAGGAAGCAACGGATCAAGTCGACCGATGTGGGGGCTGACCAAACCCCCCACCCTGAACCCTGAACCCTCAATCACCCCGCCAAGCCCCAGCCCTGTCTTCAACGACAGTCGAAATCAGCCGTCGGGCCTCGGGTCAGCTCCCTCGGACCAGCTCCCTTGAGGTTCCCACCAGCCGGGCATGAGGACCCTGTCTACCACCACGCCCTTGCTCCCGGCCACCATTGATATTGATCTCCATTTGGCCCTTCGGCGGGCCGGCAATGGGACGGGGATGCCCGCCTGGGCTTGTGGCCCAGTCTGTGCGACGCCCTCGCACCTCCCCCGCGCGTTTTGTGTTTGGTACACGCCGAAGCCTGCACCACGCACTTCGGGAAGCTGCCTCACCGCTAATGTCAGTCGTTACCGTCGGGTGAAGACAAGCGGAGTCGAAGCGCCAGTGCCTGCTCACATCCCCCACTCGCAAATGGCACCCGGGTAGGAAACTCACGATTTGTACTAGCAGCTGTCGTCGCTGCCTGCTGCAGAGTCTCTGCGGGAAAAGGGTCTGCCTGCCTTTGCGGCCCAATCACGCGGCCCACCCCTTTCTCAAGTGACAGTGTCTATGCCTAGAGGTATGCACAAACAGCGGCAGCTCCATCCGTTCTAAGTTCTGCGGGTGGCTTCTGCGGGTGGCTCACGCTCGTAAAGTTGGCCAATCTGGCGGCAAACTCTTGCCGGTGGAGGCCAGTAACTTTACCTTTCCATCTCCGATGTCTTCACGTCGGCCATAAAAGGGTCGCTACCTAGGTACTCACCCATGTATCCCGACCTACTTGTCTACCGTCCTATGTACCTACACGGGGGTATCAACATCACACCGGCCTCATACCTACATACCTAGCACCCTGAACTGTCGTGCCTCGCATTCTCGTATTCCTAGGAAAGCATCTCATACGCCGACATGTCCCTCTCGACGCCGCCCTCGGGCCCCGACGGCCAAGGCGCAGAGACCACCCCTGCCACGGCGAGCATCACCTCACCGCCGCCGACCCCCACAATCGCCGACTACCTGGCCGAGCTCTTCGCCGAAAACGTCGCGGCCAAGATCTACCGCACCGCCAGCCGCGCCGTCGGCATCCCGCACGCCTTCCCCGAGCACGTGCCGCAGGCCGGCCGCGGCGCCGGCGCCTACTCGCACCGCGAGGCCGAGTTCTGGACCTGTGGCTTCTTCCCGGGCAGCGTGCACTGCCTGCTCGAGCGCCTCGTGCGCTTCCCGCACAGCGTCCGCCTCGACACCACCACCAACAACACCCCCAACACGACCATCGCCGCCGCCCAGCTACGTGCCATACAGGCCGGCCTGCAACACCGCCGGCACCACCACCACGGCGACCTGCAGGCGGACGAGGGCAACCCGACAGAAACCCTCTACGTCGTCGGCAAGCCCACCCCCGACCGCCTCCGCTCCTCCCTGTCGGCCCTGTGCGCGCTCTGGACGGAGCCGCTGCACGCCATGGCCGGGCGGGCCGACACGCACGACGTGGGCTTCATCGTCATGCCGGCGCTGCGGCTCGACTGGGAGCTGACGGGGAACCGGCGCAGCCTCGACTCGGTGCTGCGCGCCGCGTCGGCGCTCGCCACGCGCTACGTCCCGGCCGCCCGCGCCGTGCGCAGCTGGGACTCGCGCGTGCAGCGGAACCTGACCGTCGAGGGCACCGAGACGAACCTGCTCGTCATCATCGACAGCATGTGCAACCTCGACCTGCTCTACTACGCCGCCGGCCAGCTCGGGGCCGGCGACCCGACCGCCGCGCACCTGAGCGCCGTGGCCACGGCGCACGCCACGACGGTCCTGCGCACCCACCTGCGGCCCGAGGAGCAGCCGCCCAGTCCCGACGCAGACGACTCCGACTCCTTCGCCGCCGGCAGCACGAGGTACGCCGGGCAGTGGTACTCGACGCACCACGTCGCCAACCTCGACCCGCGCACGGGTGCCGTCAAGCGCCACTTCACGGCCCAGGGCTGGAGCGACTCGTCGCAGTGGGCGCGGGGCCAGGCCTGGGCCATACTCGGCTACGCGCAGACGCACGCCTGGACGCGCGACCCGGCCTTTTTGCGCGCCGCCTGCGGCCTGGCCGAGTACTTTCTGTACCGCCTCGACTCGCACGACAACGCCGATCCCCAGAAGTCCCTCTCCCCTTCATCGTCGTCACCCAACACCACCACCACCACTAGCAACAACAACAACAATACTCACCACCACCACAAGAGCGGCCGCTACGTCCCGCCCTGGGACTTTGACGCCCCGCCCGACGCCGACCGCGGCTTCGTGCCGCGCGACTCGTCGGCCGGCGTCGTGGCCGCCAACGGCATGCTCGTCCTCTCCCAGTCCCTGCGCGCGAGCGGCGGCGGCGGCGACGACGACAGCGCCCTGGCCGACCGCTTCCTGCGCGCCGCCGTCGCCCTGGCCCGTGACGCGCTGCTGTTCGCCCTGGCCCCCGAGCGCGCCGAGCTGCTGGCCGTGGCGGGCCCCGGCGCCGGCGGCTGCTACTACAGGCACGCGCGCATCGAGGTGGCCGACGCCGACCCGGGCCCCGTCGACGGTGGTTGCGGCGGCGGCGGCGGCTCCTTCGAGGCCATCCTCAAGCACGGCACCGCTAACAACAACCCCGACGCCCTGAGGCGGTACGCTGACCACGGCCTGGTGTACGCAGACTACTACCTACTCGAATTGGTCAACCGTCCTGCTGAGGATGGGCC